TTAGGAGATGCACAACATGTTCTTGGGATCCAAATAGTTCGGAATCGAAAGAACAAGACATTAGCCATGTCTCAAGCAACTTATATCGACAAAATATTGTCTAGATATAAGATGCAAAATTCCAAAAGAGGTTTATTACCTTTTAGACATGGAATTCACCTGTCTCAGGAACAATGTCCTAAGACACCTCAAGAAATTGAGGGGATGAGACATATTCCCTACGCTTCAGCTGTTGGAAGCCTAATGTATGCTATGTTATGTACTAGACCTGACATATGCTATGCAGTAGGGATAGTCAGCAGATATCAGTCCAACCCAAGATATGATCATTGGACTGCCGTTAAAAATATCCTCAAGTATCTTAGGAGAACGAAGAACTATATGCTCGTGTATGGTGCTAAGGATCTGATCCTTACTGGATACACTGACTCTGATTTTCAGACCGATAAAGATGCTAGAAAATCTACATCGGGATCAGTGTTCACTTTGAATGGAGGAGCAGTAGTGTGGAGAAGTGTAAAGCAAACTTGCATTGCAGACTCCACAATGGAAGCTGAATACGTAGCTGCTTGTGAAGCAGTAAAAGAAGCAGTGTGGCTAAGGAAATTCTTGACTGATCTGGAAGTCGTTCCAGACATACATCTGCCCATCACTCTCTTTTGTGATCACAGTGGAGCAGTTGCAAATTCCAAGGAACCTAGAAGCCATAAGCGCGCAAAGCATATTGAGCGAAAATACCATCTCATAAGGGAGATAGTAAACCGGGGAGACGTGGTCGTCACTCAGATAACCTCGAAAGAGAATCTTGCTGACCCATTTACTAAGGCCCTCTCGGCTAAAGTGTTTGAGGGTCACCTAGAGAATCTAGAACTACGAGTTTTGTAAATTAGGACAAGTGGAAGAATAATTCGGCGTGTATCTGATGTATGCCCAATGTTCTTGTAGTTTCTTACTTAAACTCAATAAAATGTATCATTGGAGTTTTAGTCCAAGTGGGAGTTTGTTGGGTTTTATGTCCTGAAACTCATAGTTTGAAAATGCCAAATATACTTTTATCTTTCAATAAAGTTGTTATTAAAGGTTTTAATCAATAAGTAGTTATTGATCCAAAAAAATGTTCTTACTAGATCTAAATCCAATAAAATAAAGGATCCTAGACTGTTCCTGAGACTCAAACTCTATGTAAGAGACATAAATATGGATCAAGTTTGAGTTAACAGTCCAAATGGTCTATAGTATAGGAATAAGGTTGGGCGCCTTATTCTAGGGACACTATGGATGCGGCCCACTTTTTAGCTAGTACAAACGATGTGATCCTAATTCGTTCATGTGAAGACATGCGAGTGGGGGTGTCCCGTGCAAAGAGTTTGCATAAGACCGGACCATGAGATAGTCACTTTTACTTTATAACACCGTTTACTGTTTGAAAGTGACTATCTCGACTTTGATGACCTAGGTAACTCGATCTTAATCCTGAGCTAATTATGAACTTCTATTTACTCGGGATTACCCTTAGATCTGCATAGGTGAGAGCAGCTCAACAGCGCTGGCTCAATAAGCCTCCCATTTCAGGGGTAAGGCCCGATAGATAGCTAGGGACATAGGGTGCAAGAATGAATTCACTTCTACCCAATTTTAGGATAGTAGAAAGGTTGTTCTCTTAAGAACTGAATCCAGGTTTTGAACAATAGGCACCACCCTCATCAAAAGGTTTGAGAGAGAGATCGGGAGGAAGAAAGAAAAAAGAAGAAATGAATTAAAATAAAACTACGGAGGAAGAAGGAAAGAAAATGGAGAAAGAAAAGAAAATGAAGAACGAAAAGAGAAGAAAGATGAGAATTCCCGAGGAAGAGGAAGGGGTTTGAATAAATTTAAAAAAAAAACAAAAATTTTAAACCAAGTGAAAACCAGCACATTTAAATGCATTGGTTTTCCACACGCCACCCAACCACCGTGCATTTGAAAATAGAAGTTACACTTTCTAGGTGACTGAATTTTAAAATAGAAGTATTTTTTTTATATAAATATAGGTCGCTCGGTCGGTTTTCTATAAATTTCTATAACCGACCAACCGATCAGTTGGTTTTGCATAGGCAAAACCGACGACCGACCGACACACACTCAAAATTGGCCAATTGACGTCGGTTCGATTTGTCGGTTATATTTGTACACTCTTAATGATAACCACATATTTTTATATTAATCTACTACTCCAAAAAGACACCAAACTAGTGAATTTGTTAATTTAGGAATTGATAGTATAAAAAATTAAACAAATTAGGAAAAAGAGGTGAAACAAAATTGCTAAAAAAAATGGAATAATTTACAAACTATTTTTATATCCAAAAATTCATCTTAATATTTATGCAAAGCAATTAAAATCCAGTGGCCAGTTAACTACTGAAAAAACCTAGTACAGAGAACTAGGTTTTGTACTTTTAAATCAAGGAATGAGAAATATTTTCCTTTAATTTTATTTATTAAAGATAAAATTTAGTGCACTAAAGTACGACATACTAGAGATATAACTGCAGAAGTCTCGAAGGCCAATGCAAACGACACTCTTAATGGAAGCCAAAAAAAACCAAACCCAAAAGAATCGATTGTAAACAGAATACAAAATGAAAGGAGTCTGGTCATGGGAAGAAATGACGAAGATTTTATATCGACCCGATTCAAAATTTTAACATAAAATAGGGGGATTTGATATAACCTAACTGAATCGATTTATTTTTCAGGTGGAGGACATGTAGGAACTTATTTCTCTAACTCAAAATGTCATGCATAAACGAGTTAGTCGATTAACGGTAGTTTAACGACAAAGATTGAAATGAACTCAAGTACAAGGACTAAAATGAACGTTTTCAAAGTATAAAGACCAAAATGAACCAAACTTGAAAATACAAGGACCAAAGTATTATTTTGACCTAAAATTTTAAAATGATGCAACAAAAGAAAAAGAAATAAATAATATATAATTCTAGTCCTAACTCATTGATAATATATAACTTAAAATCTCAAATTTAGAGGGATGAAAACAAATGTTTATAAAAAATAAGTTCGAAAAATATAATTACTAGAATTTAATTATAATTGTACCAAAGGTTCAAAATTTCGAGATCAGTTGTTTTTTAAGAAAAAATCTAGATGGAAAATTTTGAATCCAAACCTTAAAAAAAGAAGGATTTCTATTTAAAACGTCTTTTAGTTTTGTGTAAATTCAAAGCTTGTGAAAGAACAAACAAAAAGGTCGAAAATAATAGTAAAAAATTATACGACATTGGACGGTTTCTATTTTTCTTTTAAAGAAATTAAAGTTAAATTCTTATCTTTTTTTTTTCAAAAAAAAAGAGAAAAAAAAAACAAACAAACATCAAATTAAATTCAACTATAAAAATCTAATAAAATCTTAAAGAAATATATTATAAACAATCCATTTATAAAAAACTTAATTCTTAAACTAAATTTAATTAAAAAAAACCTAACAAAATCTTAAAAAAACATATAATCGATTTAAAGAAACAACATTTAAATTAAATTTAACCAAAAAATTCTAACAAAATTTTCAAGTAATTAAGAAAAATTAATTTTAAATTTAATTTAATTAACCAAATCTTAAAACAAGCTAATGAATGAAAATAAATTTAACTAATTATTATTAAACATTTAAATTTTAAACTAAATCTAATTTTTTTAAAAATATTCCATACTTTACATATATCTATATATTTCATATATTTTGTTCAATTACGTAACTAGATTAGATTAGAAATTATCAATAAAAAAGAAATATTAAACTTTAATTTACTGACTCAAATAATTTTCATATATGTATACATGATTTTTTTTCAACATTTTCATCGTGACTATATTTTTATAAGTATATTACGTATTATTTACTAATTTAAAAAATTTCCATCAATATCTACTATTTTCGTAATTTTTCTCAAAATATCCATCGACATCGATATGTCCGTAAAATCGAAACCTCGAGATTTCCATCGAGATTGATATTTTGAACCTTGATTATACCATACATTAAAAATGTGCAAAAAAAAATCAAAAAATAGAAACTCAATTTACACAATGCAAACTAAAAAATTCTGCACTCAAAATAAAGACTTTACAATTCCATACTAAACACTTCAAACAAACACATATTATATTAAGAGAGAAAAAATAAAGCTTGTTTTTCACTATCGAGGGTATTTTGGTAAATCTACATATCTAGGGTTTTCATCACTCCATAGAATTTGAGTCGCTGAACCTCGAACCCTTAGACATTGCAGTCGCCCAACAGCACTAGTCCCTTCCTCTCTCCCTCCGTTCGTTGGTTCTCAGATTCCGCCATGGCGACTGGAGCTGCACCGCCGCGCCAACTCTCGCAGAAGGAGGCCGACATTCAGATGATGTTGGCCGCCGAGGTTCATCTTGGCACAAAAAACTCAGATTTCCAAATGGAACGATACATTTTCAAGCGCCGCAATGATGGTTTGTTTTCAATCTACTTGCCTCTGTATCTTCTCCTCTTTTTGTTTTGTTTTCAACACTGGCGGCCATTTTCACTTGAACTGATACTGTACATGCTAATGGATGTGTGTTGTTCTTCTTCTTTTAGTGTATTTTCCTTGTGACCTTAATTTTTTTTTAGTCGCGAATTTCTTGGAACAATATGGTGATTGCAATTCTTAAAATTGTCTTTGGTTACCTTGTAAAGCTTGTGTTATTATGTGTTTAGATGTGAAGTTTCAGTCTCTGGCTATTGTTATGTTTATCTCTTTAGGTTTTACAGTATAATTCGGGGGATCCACTATTGAATATTCTCCAAATTATTCTTTATTGGGTTTTACATTTTTGGTTTGATTCGCACTTTTGATGCTATTTTGATTTCATCCCCGATTGTTGGTTCATACGCTTTCAAATGAACAGCCAAATGTTTTGAATTGAAGTACTTAGTCTTATCTCCATGGTTTGGTGAATTGGTTTATTGTTTTTCAGTCTGTTGCCTAAGAGGAATGTTGTGCTTATTAAAGGCTTAGTGAGCACTGAGCTCTACAATATGAACATATTAGATTATTTCAATTGTTATATTACAGCCATGTATCATTTTTATTTTTTAAAATCCTCTTGGTTTTCAGGAATCTACATCATTAACCTTGGTAAGACTTGGGAGAAACTTCAGCTGGCTGCTAGAGTTATTGTGGCTATCGAGAATCCTCAAGATATCATTGTTCAGTCTGCTAGGCCTTATGGTCAGAGGGCTGTTTTGAAGTTTGCTCAGTACACTGGTGCTCATGCAATAGCTGGGAGGCACACTCCTGGAACGTTCACCAACCAGCTTCAGACCTCATTCAATGAACCGCGTCTTCTTATACTTACTGATCCTAGAACTGATCATCAGGTGCTTTAACCTTCTTAGAAATCAGTAATGGTCCATGGTTATAAATTAAGTCCAAGAAGAATGGTTTTATATTGTCAAATTTATGATTCAATTCATGCTTGTTCCCTTAGATCTATTTGTACCTGTATTTACTTGATGCTGTTGTTTATTTATGTTGCGTTGTTGATTCCTACTTGTAGCCAATTAAGGAGGCTGCCCTTGGGAACATTCCTACGATTGCCTTTTGTGACACCGACTCCCCAATGCGATATGTTGATATTGGAATTCCGGCTAACAACAAGGGGAAACACAGCATAGGATGTCTGTTCTGGCTTTTGGCAAGGATGGTTCTACAAATGCGTGGAACAATTCGTGCTGGGCACAAATGGGATGTGATGGTAAATTCGAATTTATATTTTCTATTTGGACTTCATAAACCATATTTTGGCATGAAATTTTACATCAATTGTTATTCAATGGAACTTATTTCCTTGTGTATAGGTGGATTTGTTTTTCTACCGTGAGCCTGAGGAGGCTAAGGAGCAAGAAGAGGAAGAGGCTGCTGCGCCCCCGGATTATGGCATTGCAGACTTTGGTGCTGCTCCACTTGTTGCCTCAGATCAATGGGCTGGACAAATTCCTGATGCTCAGTGGGGTGCCCCAGATGTGGTTGT